GATACGGTGGCAGGTAGGGTTAGGATACAGAGGGACCTAGACAAATTGGAGGATTGGGCCAAAAGAAATCTGATGAGGTTCAACAAGGATAAGTGCAGAGTCCTGCACTTAGGACAGAAGAATCTCATGCACCGCTACAGACTAGGGACCGAATGGCTAGGCAGCAGTTCTGCGGAAAAGGACCTAGGGGTGACAGTGGACGAGAAGCTGGATATGAGTCAGCAGTGTGCCCTTGTTGCCAAGAAGGCCAATGGCATTTTGGGATGTATAAGTAGGGGCATAGCCAGCAGATCGAGGGACGTGATCGTTCCCCTCTATTTGACATTGGCGAGGCCTCATCTGGAGTACTGTGTCCAGTTTTGGGCCCCACACTACAAGAAGGATGTGGAAAAATTGGAGAGAGTCCAGTGAAGGGCAACAAAAATGATTAGGGGTCTGGAACACATGACTTATGAGGAGAGGCTGAGGGAACTGGGATTGTTTAGTCTGCAGAAGAGAAGAATGAGGGGGGATTTGATAGCTGCTTTCAACTACCTGAGAGGTGGTTCCAAAGAGGATGGTTCTAGACTATTCTCAGTGGTAGAAGAGGACAGGACAAGGAGTAAAGGTCTCAAGTTACAGTGCGGGAGGTTTAGGTTGGATATTAGGAAAAACTTTTTCACTAGGAGGGTGGTGAAACACTGGAATGTGTTACCTAGGGAGATGGTAGAATCTCCTTCCTTAGAAGTTTTTAAGGTCAGGCTTGACGAAGCCCTGGCTGGGATGATTTAATTGGGGATTGGTCCTGCTTTGAGCAGGGGGTTGGACTAGATGACCTCGTGAGGTCCCTTCCAACCCTGATATTCTATGATTCAAATTCTATGATTCTACCTACTCTTTTCCTTGTTTTTAGACTATTTCTAAATCAGACAATTGGATCTGAAAACCAGTCATTGTAACCTGGGCAGAGTGTCCACTATCCCTTCTTTGCCATTGATATCACAGGCTTATGGTCTATTTCTGCAACAACTCGTCTTCCATAAATGAACGAACGATCTTTGTATTACAACCATGTACCAGGGCTAAAGCTTCCTTTTCAATTTGGGCATAATGGCATTCTGTTTTTGTAAGACTGCTGGATGCGTATGCCACCAGTCTCCAGGTGGTGCTCATATTTTGTAGCAATGGTTTTCTACATAAAAGTGCATTCTTGCTGGTTGTTATAACCTTAACACATATTCTTCACAACTCAGAGATAGATGTAGGTTTCATTTTTATACATTTTTAAACAGTGATTTCTTTTGAAAACTTTTCAGATGAGTTTTACAGCTATATCAGAAAATAAATGATTGTTTTATTATTTCATTTATGAAAGATAATTGAAGCAGATATTTAGGAAGTCATTGGGAAGTGAACTATCTCCAGTTCAACAGGTTAAACAATAATATCTGGAGGATTTTTTTGCCAGGCTGTATTAGGAGAACATCACCAGACGGACATTTAAATTGTTTTATTTAACTAAAACAACAACGTTAAGTATTCTGGATTTTCTTTTCTTCAACAGCAAACATAATATTTTAACAAAAAAGCTTATGTCCCTCGCTTCTCACATTTATCTCCAGACTTCTTCTACTTGTCCAGATCTATTCCGCCCCCAACAATCTTCTATTCATTGAACTTTTTGAAACTTTTCACTTTTAAAGAGCGGTAAGAGATTGACTCTGTGTACACAAATTTGCAGAGGGACAATAGAGTTGAGGTCTGTTATTTCTCACCTCTCTATATTTATTTATTTAAAAACATTTTTGCTGTTAAGAAGCATGTTACCTCTGGAGACACACATCCACAGTTTGAGAACTGCAAAACTAAGCATTTCTGATGGTATCTTCTAGACTGAGCACTGAGTCCCACTGAGTAGATAGAAAGATTAACCTAAATAATCTACACAGAAGCCCCTAGCACCCCATAAGATTGGGTCCCTAATCCACGAACTATTAGAACTCATTTACAAAACTTTTCTTAAAGATTACATGAATATATTGTCTCACAGTATAGAATTAGAATTTATAATCCCTATTCCATGATGAGATACTTTTAATTAAGATAGGTTTTTTCCTCAAAAATCCGATTTAAATAAAAATCCGATTTTTTGATTGTTTTTTAAAAGTCATTGATTTTTATCCACCCTGACAGCGGGGCACAGTGCAGGGGAAGGATTGGTCTCCAGCTGGAGTGAGGCAGGGGCCAGGAGCAAGAGCACAGTGGGACATGGGGGGGAGGATTAGTCCCTGCTGACTGGAGCAAGACAGAGGCCGGGGGCAAAAGTACAGTGGGGCGGGAGCTAGGGTTGGTCCCTGAAGCACGGGAGGGGCTGGGGGTAAACTGCAAGCGCAGCAGGCTAGGGAGGGGGTAAGAAGGATCCCCCCCACACCTGCCAACATAGAGTGGGTACCTATCTTCTCCCTGGTTCTAGCCCATTCTCTTAGTCTCTCTCTGCACTGAGATGAGGGTGGGGTGCATTGAGCACAGGGCTGGAGGTGCAGGGTCTGGGAGGGAGTTAGGGGGCAGGAGCAGGCTGGGGTGCAGGGTCTGGCCAGGAACTAGGGTGAGGGAGGGGGCTCAGGGCTGGGGCAGGAGGTTGGGGTGTGGAGTGCTTACCTGGGGCAGCTCCCATTTGGTGCTCAGGTTGGGGGTGGGGATGTGGGGGGGTGCAGGAGTCAGGACTGGGGGCTGGGTGTGTGTGAGGGGGGTGCAGGAGTGAGGGCGTGGGGTGTGGGGGGACTGGGTATGTGTGGGGGGTGCAGGAGTCAGGACAGAGGGCTGGGGGTGTGGGCTGGGGTTGTGGGGGTGCTCCCTGCCCTGAGCAGCTCACAGCAGGGGGCTGGAAGGGTATGCCCCGATTCCACCCCTTCCCCAAGGCCCCGGCCCTGCCCCTTCTCCGCCTCCTTCCCTGAGCGGCGAGCGCTGCGGCTCTGCTCCTCCCACTCTCTTGCACCGGCAAACAGCTGTTTGGCAGCAGGGGAATCGCAGGGAGGGGTAGGGGCGGGAACATGGCACGCTGGGGGAAGAGGTGGGGGAGGAGCTTGCCTGCCGGCGGAGCCTGCCCTGCTGCAGCAGGAGCCGGCAGGACCAAGCTCCTGCCCGCGGCCCCTGCAGGAGAGAGCAGGGGGCGGAGAAGAGCAGGCCAGGCTGGGGTGCCTTTGCAGCGTGGGCCCAGCGCCATGGTAAATCCGGTACTGACAGAAGAACTGGTTTAGCAGAGCAGTTGTCTTGCCAGGGGGCCTTTGGTCATGTGTTGAGGCTGGCAGGATGTCACCTGACAGAGATGAGTAAAATTTATACACAGGGAGGAGCTGATCTTCCTGGGGTCTTTGGTTCCTCACTAGCTCAAGAGGAGAGGGAGCAGCCACCCAACATGGAGAACTCTGATGAGGCGGGGGACACCCTACCTGCCTTCCGTCCTGAGCCTAGGTGGCCCCCAAGACTTCTAAGGGAAGGGTGAGCTAGGGAGGGGCATTGTGTGTAGGATAGTTGGTGTGTCTAAGTGATTTGTACTCTTTGTGCTTTATCTGTTGGGTATAAAACAGCAATTGTGTTAGGTGATTGTCCAAGTGTCTGTGTGTTTGCTTCACAACTGCCTGTATGCCGCTGAGAGAGAGAGAAAGTGTAAACCAGAAGCTTCCCGCCTTGGGGTGGAGTTCTGGGAAGAGGGTGTGTTTAAGTACAGGGGAGTCTGAAGGGTCAACACTGAGGCCAGGGGCGAGGCAGCTGGAGAGCAGGATCCAGTTCTGAGAAGGGAGCGTTAGACGGCAGATCTGCATGGCAGCAGCATGCCTACAGACCCCAAGACTGGGGCAGTGGCTGGACTCTGTTCAGGCTCTGGAGGCTTAAAACACCCCGGGATTCAGGGAGAGAGGCTTGGATTCCCTCACAGCAGAGCAGGGGGTGACTGGAAGGGGCAGCCCAATCGGAGCTGTGACAGAAGGTAATACAGGCGTGTGGCATTGATACCAGGTTATCTTGGGATTCCCTAGGACAAGAAAGCCCTGCCCTCTACAAGGTGAGGCTTCTCGGTATGAGGGTACCCCCACAGAGCATCCAGGGGTTACACTTTAGATGTAGGAGGGACAGACTCTGCTAACATTAATTTTAGGATGATTTTCTTACTGTAAACTAAACAGAAGAGGGATAGATATGTTTTTTGTGAAAGCTCTCCGGGGGAGACAGCCAGGCCTTAAAGGCCACAGGACAAACCCATCAAGGTGCAGCAAAGTGGCCATTAAAACACTCAGACAATAGTCCCAACCATCACCAGTGGCCTAGCCTAGTACCCCTCCGAGCTGGATGGGCTGGGTTTGGAGAGGAGCCAGCAGGATCTCTCCAGAGACGAAGGAGGACTGTGAAATAGGAAACTGAGTCTCTCCTTGGGTAAAAGGCCGTTTGCTCTACTGAAGAGTGACACTCTGAAAGGCATGGGGATGGTCCCACACAGCAGGGTGGGTGCTGAAAGACTTCTGGGCCAGACCAAGGAGGTCAGCTCTAGCCTAGGTTCTCTGGGGCAGGACATGGACAGAAGGCTAATCTGTCAGCTGGATCATGTCAGAACTTTCCTTGTCTTCCTCCTTTTCTGCAACGGAACAGGAAAAACACTTTTCTAAAATTTCAGCTAACATTTGGATATGAAAAAAATTATTTTTGTTTTTTTAAAAAATGTTCCTCTCTTTCATTCCAAATAGAGCTTGTTTAACTGAGAGATCTGCTGTATGTTTGAAAAGATTCAACCCGTTCTTCTGTCTCTGAGGAGAAAATGTGCAGAAACCTTGCACAAAGGGGTCTACAAGGTACTGATGGCCAGGAGCCTAAGACCCCTATTTTGTCTAGAGGGTAGAGGACAGAAGGATCTACTCCCCCAGACTGTGAGTAGGACAAGATGAGAGCAGGTAGATCCCAAGAAGAAATGCTGAGAGACCAAGGAAGAGTGAGGTAGAGGTGGCCTAAAGGACACAGTGATGAAAAGCTCCTCGTATCAAACCAGCTTTATGTTGCTGCGTAAGTAACAAAGGTAAGACTATGTTCACACCCCAGACTGGCAGGAGCACAGGTAGCTGTTAGCGGGATCTCCAGGCCCTAGCTGGATTGCTCCAAGTCCTGTACAAGGTAAGGGTCAGTCTCTTTGAGACTCTGGTAGAGTTCTTCTTGGGCCTGAGCTCCTTTCCTCTCAACCAGCTGCAGTAAGGCATCGTTCATCACCTTTCGTCTGTTCTGCATACTAAGCAGCTCCTCTTCTTCATCACTGTTCATTGCCTCTATGTCCCGTAAGCGCGCCAGGATGGGATAGATCAATCCCATTCGGTTACGGAGCTCCTCCCGGTGCTTCTTCACAAAGGACACGCCTTGAGCTGAAGGAGACACCAGCCCTGCATTACTCTTCTGGGTACGGGAGGTACAACACTGGGTTATTACAGTCCCACTAAATTACCCCATGTCATTGTGGGGTGCAACAGCTTGCCCTGTACTGTAGGGCTGTTCTAGCTCAAAGTGTGGGGTCAGTTGCATGAAGTCATTCATGTTGGAATAGGGGGGTTTGTAAAGACCCATCCACGCTAACACCTGCAAGGGGCTGAGGCTCTGATGCAACAGCCCGCACTGCTACACATTCCAGACCATCCCACCAGCCTGTCCCGGGGGTATAGCGAGGGATAAGGAGATGACACTGAGGAAAGGAAAGCTTGGGATGGACCTCAGGAGAACAACTCTCAACAGTGACGTACAGAGGGATCCTTTTGTGAGGATGGGGTGGAATCTGTGCATCACTGCACTGGACAAAGGCAAACTTGAAGGTCTTTCTCCATGTCTAGTGTCTATGCTTCAAGCAGGAGGACCGGGCGTGTTAGAGAAGAAATGGAATCCAACTAAAGCTTGTCAACATTTTTCAAACTTTTTTCCAAGTGTTTTTTTTTAAATAAAAATTCAGTTTTTATTCTGAAATTGTCCGTTTTTTTTCAACAACCTCCTTCCCCCTTGAAATTAACAATCCAAAGGGTTTTCCCCCTTTGGTATTTTACTCATCCCCTCCCCACCCCCTGCCTTCCCTTCACTCAGCACCTATTTCTAATTTTCAAAAAAAAAAAGGAGTACTTGTGGCACCTTAGAGACTAACCAATTTATTTGAGCATGAGCTTTCGTGAGCTACAGCTCACTTCATCAGATGTATACCGTGGAAACTGCAGCAGACTTTATATACACACAGAGAATATGAAACAATACCTCCTCCCACCCCACTGTCCTGCTGGTAATATCTTATCTAAAATGATCAACAGGTGGGCCATTTCCAGCACAAATCCAGGTTTTCTCACCCTCCACCCCCCCACACAAATTCACTCTCCTGCTGGTGCTAGCCCATCCAAAGTGACAACTCTTTACATAATCAAGTCGGGCTATTTCCTGCATAGATCAAGGTTTTCTCACATCCCCCCCACCCCCATACACACACAAACTCACTCTCCTGCTGGTAATAGCTCATCTAAACTGACCACTCTCCAAGTTTAAATCCAAGTTAAACCAGAACATCTGGGGGGGGGGGGGGGGGTAGGAAAAAACAAGAGGAAACAGGCTACCTTGCATAATGACTTAGCCACTCCCAGTCTCTATTTAAGCCTAAATTAATAGTATCCAATTTGCAAATGAATTCCAATTCAGCAGTTTCTCGCTGGAGTCTGGATTTGAAGTTTTTTTGTTTTAAGATAGCGACCTTCATGTCTGTGATTGCGTGACCAGAGAGATTGAAGTGTTCTCCGACTGGTTTATGAATGTTATAATTCTTGACATCTGATTTGTGTCCATTTATTCTTTTACGTAGAGACTGTCCAGTTTGACCAATGTACATGGCAGAGGGGCATTGCTGGCACATGATGGCATATATCACATTGGTGGATGTGCAGGTGAACGAGCCTCTGATAGTGTGGCTGATGTTATTAGGCCCTGTGATGGTGTCCCCTGAATAGATATGTGGGCACAATTGGCAACGGGCTTTGTTGCAAGGATAAGTTCCTGGGTTAGTGGTTCTGTTGTGTGGTATGTGGTTGTTGGTGAGTATTTGCTTCAGGTTGCGGGGCTGTCTGTAGGCAAGGACTGGCCTGTCTCCCAAGACTTGTGAGAGTGTTGGGTCATCCTTTAGGATAGGTTGTAGATCCTTAATAATGCGTTGGAGGGGTTTTAGTTGGGGGCTGAAGGTGACCGCTAGTGGCGTTCTGTTATTTTCTTTGTTAGGCCTGTCCTGTAGTAGGTAACTTCTGGGAACTCTTCTTGCTCTATCAATCTGTTTCTTTACTTCTGCAGGTGGGTATTGTAGTTGTAAGAAAGCTTGACAGAGATCTTGTAGGTGTTTGTCTCTGTCTGAGGGGTTGGAGCAAATGCGGTTGTATCGCAGAGCTTGGCTGTAGACGATGGATCGTGTGGTGTGGTCAGGGTGAAAGCTGGAGGCATGCAGGTAGGAATAGCGGTCAGTAGGTTTCCGGTATAGGGTGGTGTTTATGTGGCCATTGTTTATTAGCACTGTAGTGTCCAGGAAGTGGATCTCTTGTGTGGACTGGACCAGGCTGAGGTTGGTGGTGGGATGGAAATTGTTGAAATCATGGTGGAATTCCTCAAGGGCTTCTTTTCCATGGGTCCAGATGATGAAGATGTCATCAATATAGCGCAAGTAGAGTAGGGGCTTTAGGGGACGAGAGCTGAGGAAGCGTTGTTCTAAATCAGCCATAAAAATGTTGGCATACTGTGGGGCCATGCGGGTACCCATAGCAGTGCCGCTGATCTGAAGGTATACATTGTCCCCAAATGTGAAATAGTTATGGGTAAGGACAAAGTCACAAAGTTCAGCCACCAGGTTAGCCGTGACATTATCGGGGATAGTGTTCTTGACGGCTTGTAGTCCATCTTTGTGTGGAATGTTGGTGTAGAGGGCTTCTACATCCATAGTAGCCAGGATGGTGTTATCAGGAAGATCACCGTTGGATTGAAGTTTCCTCAGGAAGTCAGTGGTGTCTCGAAGGTAGCTGGGAGTGCTGGTAGCGTAGGGCCTGAGGAGGGAGTCTACATAGCCAGACAATCCTGCTGTCAGGGTGCCAATGCCTGAGATGATGGGGCGCCCAGGATTGTTTCTGAGGCTGTGGATGGCATTGCGTTCCGCATGGCTGAGGTTATGGGGCAAGTGATGCTGCTTTTCCACAATTTCAGCCCGTGCACGTCGGCGGAAGCACTCTATGTAGAAGTCCAGTCTGCTGTTTCGACCTTCAGGAGGAGTCCATCTAGAATCCCTCTTTCTGTAGTGTTGGCAGGGAGACCTCTGTGGATTAGTATGTTGTTCAGAGGTATTTTGGAAATATTCCTGGAGACGGAGACGGAGACGGAGGCATCATCTCAGGCATTGGCACCCTGACAGCAGGATTGTCTGGCTATGTAGACTCCCTCCTCAGGCCCTACGCTACCAGCACTCCCAGCTACCTTCGAGACACCACTGACTTCCTGAGGAAACTTCAATCCAACGGTGATCTTCCTGATAACACCATCCTGGCTACTATGGATGTAGAAGCCCTCTACACCAACATTCCACACAAAGATGGACTACAAGCCGTCAAGAACACTATCCCCGATAATGTCACGGCTAACCTGGTGGCTGAACTTTGTGACTTTGTCCTTACCCATAACTATTTCACATTTGGGGACAATGTATACCTTCAGATCAGCGGCACTGCTATGGGTACCCGCATGGCCCCACAGTATGCCAACATTTTTATGGCTGATTTAGAACAACGCTTCCTCAGCTCTCGTCCCCTAAAGCCCCTACTCTACTTGCGCTATATTGATGACATCTTCATCATCTGGACCCATGGAAAAGAAGCCCTTGAGGAATTCCACCATGATTTCAACAATTTCCATCCCACCACCAACCTCAGCCTGGTCCAGTCCACACAAGAGATCCACTTCCTGGACACTACAGTGCTAATAAACAATGGCCACATAAACACCACCCTATACCGGAAACCTACTGACCGCTATTCCTACCTGCATGCCTCCAGCTTTCACCCTGACCACACCACACGATCCATCGTCTACAGCCAAGCTCTGCGATACAACCGCATTTGCTCCAACCCCTCAGACAGAGACAAACACCTACAAGATCTCTGTCAAGCTTTCTTACAACTACAATACCCACCTGCAGAAGTAAAGAAACAGATTGATAGAGCAAGAAGAGTTCCCAGAAGTTACCTACTACAGGACAGGCCTAACAAAGAAAATAACAGAACGCCACTAGCGGTCACCTTCAGCCCCCAACTAAAACCCCTCCAACGCATTATTAAGGATCTACAACCTATCCTAAAGGATGACCCAACACTCTCACAAGTCTTGGGAGACAGGCCAGTCCTTGCCTACAGACAGCCCCGCAACCTGAAGCAAATACTCACCAACAACCACATACCACACAACAGAACCACTAACCCAGGAACTTATCCTTGCAACAAAGCCCGTTGCCAATTGTGCCCACATATCTATTCAGGGGACACCATCACAGGGCCTAATAACATCAGCCACACTATCAGAGGCTCGTTCACCTGCACATCCACCAATGTGATATATGCCATCATGTGCCAGCAATGCCCCTCTGCCATGTACATTGGTCAAACTGGACAGTCTCTACGTAAAAGAATAAATGGACACAAATCAGATGTCAAGAATTATAACATTCATAAACCAGTCGGAGAACACTTCAATCTCTCTGGTCACGCAATCACAGACATGAAGGTCGCTATCTTAAAACAAAAAAACTTCAAATCCAGACTCCAGCGAGAAACTGCTGAATTGGAATTCATTTGCAAATTGGATACTATTAATTTAGGCTTAAATAGAGACTGGGAGTGGCTAAGTCATTATGCAAGGTAGCCTGTTTCCTCTTGTTTTTTTCCTACCCCCCCCCCCCCCAGATGTTCTGGTTTAACTTGGATTTAAACTTGGAGAGTGGTCAGTTTAGATGAGCTATTACCAGCAGGAGAGTGAGTTTGTGTGTGTATGGGGGTGGGGGGATGTGAGAAAACCTTGATCTATGCAGGAAATAGCCCGACTTGATTATGTAAAGAGTTGTCACTTTGGATGGGCTAGCACCAGCAGGAGAGTGAATTTGTGTGGGGGGGTGGAGGGTGAGAAAACCTGGATTTGTGCTGGAAATGGCCCACCTGTTGATCATTTTAGATAAGCTATTACCAGCAGGACAGTGGGGTGGGAGGAGGTATTGTTTCATATTCTCTGTGTGTATATAAAGTCTGCTGCAGTTTCCACGGTAAACATCTGATGAAGTGAGCTGTAGCTCACGAAAGCTCATGCTCAAATAAATTGGTTAGTCTCTAAGGTGCCACAAGTACTCCTTTTCTTTTTGCGAATACAGACTAACACGGCTGTTCCTCTGAAACCTATTTCTAATTTTGCCACTGAAAAACATGTGGGGGGAGGGGAGGGAGAGGAAGGGGTAATACTGGACAGCTTTAAAGTTTGGGGATTCCAGGTTGAAGAAAATCAGAAAATTTTCATGTAAATGTTTGAAGAAAACCCCTAGAATTAATTGTTTTTTCATTGAACAAACTGTATTCTGACCAGCTTGAGATTGAGGAAACTGAAAGCTCTGTTAAAATAATACTGACCTGTGAGTGTTTGGGAGGATGCTGCAGGAATTTTAACGTCCCCTAAAAGAGAAAGGGAAGGGATCAGTCAAACATCCTGTCACTTCCCTCATTAGCAGGAGGGGCCAGCAATATTAAAGACCATCAGAGGCAAAGGGCAATCAGAGAAGCTCTGCATTCCCAGAGACCTTCTCCTCCTTTGCTAGCAGGTGTCTCAGCCTTCTCTAAAGTTATACTGGAGTTTTTCCACCTCACAAGGAATCTTGAAATACTTGAAGATAATTTCTGAAATTTCCAGAGGAGCCATAATCAAAGATCCTAAAAGTGCATTTAAACCACAGGACTTTTTTCAGTGGATTAAGATTTTTGCCATGGATAATGAAGATGGCAGAGCTGAGACACCTGATTTAATGTACATCTCCTGCCTCTGTCTGCCCCCAACACACCTAACTTCGATACCTGGGAAGTTCTCATGATTCAACAACCAGTTTGCACCGAGAGGATAATAGGTTTATAAGGGACAGCCAGCATGGATTTGCAAAGAACAAATGCCAAACCAACCTAATTTCCTTCTTTGACAGGGTAACTGATTTAGTGGATAGAGGGGAAGCAGCAGATATGCCATATCTTGATTTTAATAAGGCTTTTAACACAGTCCCTCATGACATTCTCATAAGCAAATTAGGGAAATGCAGTCTAAATTAAATTACTATAAAGTGAGTGCACAAGTGGTTGAAAGATGATACTCAAAGAGTAGTTATCAGTGGTTTGCTGTCAAACTGGGAGGGCATATCTAGTGTGGTTATACAGGCGTCTGTCCTGGGACTAGTCAATATTTTCATTCATGACTTGTATAATGGATTGGAGAGTATGTTGATAACATTTGCAGATGACACCAAGCTGGGATGGGTTGCAAGAACTTTGGAGGACAGATTTAGAATTCAGAACCACTTTGACAAATTGGAGAATTGGTCTGAAATCAACAAAATGAAATTCAATAAAAACAAGTGCAAAGTACTCCACGTAGGAAGCAAAAATGAAATGAGACCTATATAATGGGGAATAACTGGCTAGGTGGTAGCACTGCCGAAAAGCATCTGGGGTTATAGTGGATTGCAAATTGAATATGAGGCAACAATGGGATGCAGTGCCAGTTGCAAAAAAGGCTAATAGCGTTCTGGGATGTATTAACATGAGTGTTGTAGCACTGATGAGGCCTCGGCTGGAGCACTGTGCCCAGTTCTGGGCACCACACTTGAAGAAAGCTGTGGGCAAATTGGAGAGAGTCCAGAGGAGAGCAACAAAAATGATAAAGGTTTAGAAAACTTCACCTGTGAGGAAGGTTAAAAACTGGGACTGGTTAGTCTGGAGAAAAGACGACCGATGGGGTAACCTGATAACAGTCTTCAGATATGTGAAGGGCTGTTACAAAGAGCACAGGGATCAATTGTTCTCCATGTCCGCTGAAGGTAGGACAAGAAGTAATTGGCTTAATCTGCAGCAAGGGAGATTTAGGTTAGACATTAGGAAAAACTTTCTAACTATAAGGGTAGCTAAGCTCTGGAACAGGCTTCCAAGGGAGGTTGCCCATCATTGGAGGCCATTAGGAACAGGTTGGACAAACATCTGACAGGATTGGTCTAGGTTTACTTGGGCCTGCCTCAGCACAGGGAGCTGCACTTGATGACCTCTCAAGGTCTCTTCCAGCCCGACATTTCAGCGATTCTATGAGCTTCAGTCACCACGACCAGCTGCCCAGAAGTTCTGCTTCAATGTCTTACATGTGATCCTACCTGGCCTCAAAAACGTCTTCCAAACCAATTTCCCATCTTTTCTGTCTTTCATGTGAAGCTTGATTTCCTTCTCCATATCCATCATGTAGAGCTCAATATATGACTGCTGGTCTGCAGGGCTTCTATAGCAGAGCTCCAGCTGCTGGAGTAAAGATAAAATGGCTTATGAGAGTCTCCCACCTCCGGCAGGAGCAGGAGTGAACGATGCTCATTGTTTGCTGTGTCCATTGTGGTCTCTTGGCTTATACTTAGATTGGAAGCTCTTTGGGGCAGGTCCATCTTTTTGTTCTGTGTTTGTACAGCACCTGGCATAAAGGGGTCCTGGGTGACAACTGGGTCTCCTAGGCACTACCACCATACAACTAATGCATAATAATAATTAATTGTTCAGCTCGTTTTGATGCCTCAGTGGAAGTAGAGGACAATTCTACTTACGTCAGGTGTTATCTTTAGCTCTGATGTACCAGACACCTCATACTGAGATCCAAAGTACAGCGCATTGGTCTGAGGAGGTTTGGGAATGTGCTTTGACTCCAACTTCGTTTCTTCTTCTTCAATGGCCTGTAAATTTCAAGCATTGTCATTTCTGAGAGATACAAACAGGAACCCCTGACAAACAGCTCTGCCTTCATTCAGAGCATCTTCAGTCGGAGAGGGAAAAGGCCTGTTGGGTCACCTTGTCCATTCCCCAGCCAAAGCAGGCACCTTCCCTACACTACGTTCTGCTGGGATCTGGTCCAGCCCAGTCAAAAATAATGCAGGTTTGGGGCTGTCACCATTTCCTGGCTGGGAACCTCTTTGAGAGCCTACCAGACCTCACTCTCAGGATGTGTTTCCTCAGACAAACCTGATCACCACTGAAAAGATGGAGGCCTCTGCTTCTGCTTAAAAATACGATGTGATCAAGTAAGGAAAGACTCTCACAATACATACAGACAAGGGAGCAGAGAGAAGGTTGCAAACAGCAATCTTAATTCTGGCATTCTCCAATGATGATTGACTTTGCAACCTTAACATTGTTCTTTTAATGTGTGTGTATTTTCCATCGTGATAACAGGCTATAGGATCTACAGACAATGTGGGGTGGCTCCTGGGGTTCTTACAGTGATCATGTGGTCGCAGCCACTGTAGCTAATGTTGAGTTCTAGCTGCCAACCTAATTCCCTCATTCCCTCGCTCAGAGTTTTCATTTTAACCTGGACTCTCCCGTGCCCCAAGGTGACATTTTGTAAAGAAGATTTTTCACTGCTCGGAAGCTCAGTTATACATGGAATATCCCAAGGTGGGGAATGAGACTCTGGAGAGAACAGCACCTCTTAGTGGGTGCTGGGGGGACCTGTCCTTTAGCTTCAGGAATCACTATGCTGCTGAGTGGTGTGGATATCACACCACGGCAAGCCCGGCCCTGAGCTATTCCTACCTGTCTGCTGCTGCAGACGGTGCCCCGTGAAGCTTGGTCACACCAACAATATAGTTCTCTTCATTTTTGCCTCCTGCTTGAGCCTCCCACGACAGATGAGGTATCTGTGCTGTGAGACCCCCTATCCATTGGGGTCCCACCCACATGCCTCCTGTTAGCTAGTGCTGTGCATCCCTCGGGAGCTCAACTCTCTCTCCCTGGGTACGTGCCCCAGCCCATCACGCACCACTATTAAAAACACAAGAAAACCTGGCTGCTGAGGTGCCTTCTATTTCAGTGACAGTCAGCGTGTAGGCCTCTGCCCTCTCCTCTCTGAATGATGCCGTGCTGCCTGGCATTTCACTGTGTACTTGGCTGTTTGGGTGTATTGATGTGGTTCATTCTCACTCTATGGTCATGCAGTGTCCCAGCAATCTTGGTGTTGGGCTCACTGTAGAAATAGGATTGTTGTTTTACCTTCTTGAGTGAGTGGTCATTGGGTATCAGGTAGAGATGGAGAGTTATGTCTGCAGCCCTGAGTGCCCGGTAGATCAGCACAAGGGAATGGACGGGAATAAATGTTATGGTCGAACGTATCTTTCTCCAAAGCACGCCGAGCTGGGAGAAGCTGGGATTCTCCAGGACAACACGGAAGACATAGATTCTCGCTGGAGTTTCCAGGGTCATGTGGCCAGCTTCAAAATGGGCGATTTTGCATGAACTTAAATCCCCTCCGTCTGCAGATGGGATAGCGAGGAGAATGAGATTGAAACACCCTGAGCTGGCAGCACCTGTACAATGACTTACACCAACACACAACAGCCATCCCAGATGCCTTACAAGTATAAACAACTGCAGGCCGTGCGCAGCCCTGCCATCGAATCGGGTGCAGAGAGACGGATGGAGTGAGGAGAAAGGGAAGAGAAGCAACAAAAGGGAGGGGGAGGAAGAACAGACTGTGAAAAAGCCAGGTGAGGGCTGGGAGAAGGGTACCCAGGGAAGGGGTCACTCGGGAGGCTTAAGAGACAGGAGAGATAACAAAAGCACAGCAAGAAGGAAACCAAACTATTTGCCCCCTGAATAGGAGAGAGAAGGGGAAGCTGTGGGTCTGGGCACAGGGCAGAGGCAGGGCATGGCCAGCGAGGGGAGATCAGGAGAGCTGGAGGAAGGAAGCACGGAAGCAGCTGGGAGGGCTCCTGGATATCACACAGAAGAGTTCCCCTGAAGGGAACCACCGGCCCAGGGAGTGATGGCGGGAAATGAAGCTTGCGAGATCCAGACAGGAAAATGGAGAGGTGGAAGGCCAGGGAAGGGAGAACCAGGGACAGGGACACAATGGCCTGAATCTCCTGTGGGCTTTCTCCCCAGCCCAGCCTGCCTGCTGGGTGTGTACTGGGCATGGAACCACTTCCTGCTGTCTTCCCCCAGCCCCCTGACACACAGAACCCCGGGGGTCTGCCACAGGCTCCCCCCATTCCCCTCCTCTGCTGCCCAGGGGGTCCTTGCACTCCTGTGTGACTGGCACTTGTCTGACGCTCAGGTGTTGGAGGGTCACCCACCATCCCCTGCAGGGGAGCCACACTCTCGTCAGGGTGCGGGATCTACACCCGAACTGGGCCGGACTGTGCTTGGCCCTGCACAGCGAGGAGGAGGAGAGAGAGGCAACCAGGAGCCTTCCTCTCGGCTGCCTGCTCCCCAGAGCAGGGCCAGGCAGAGTCCCTGCTTGTGCTTCTGTTTCTCACAGACCAGGGTGACAAGCCCTGGCAGCACAGACGGACCTCCCCCCACCCTAGGGGACCACTGGAGGATGTGCCTCAAAACCCACACTCGCCAGTGGAGCCGAGCTGGAGCAGGAGCCAGGCGGGGAGCGGAGAGCACAGTGCAGAGGCCCCTGGGCCCCGCACTCCCACAGTGCTCCAGGAGTTGCTGCTGCAGCTAGACCCCCCCAGCCCCACTGGCTGCAGACTGTGGCTCAAAGCCTCCATCAGCCCCTGACTCCAGCATCTAGCCCAGTGATGCCCCGTTTCTGCCCTACCTGCAAGGCACACGAAGTGGGGGAGGTGCACGGCTCGCACCGTGTCGGGCTCGGCCCTGATGTGGAACAGGGGGCCGGCAACCATCCACTCCTGCCTGGCAGATGGGCTCAGACTCTCCGCCCAGGAGCCATATTCATACTCGACGGTCACTGCTGCGCTCACCTCAAAGCCAAGCCCCGTTTCGGAGCAGTGGAAGGAGCCAGCACTGGGGATGCGAGCTCTGGGGGGTACAATGAAAACGCAGAGGTCAGGCTTGGACAGGGCTTCTAGGGCCACATCCTGCAGCACCCTGGAGCTCCTACCTGTAGACAGTCTTGTTCTCCTCTGTGCCTGGAACAATCTCTGGCGTTACCTCTGGAAGGATCTGAAAGACAGCGAGTTCCAGTAACTAGGGGCTTCATAACGGTTACTTCTTGTGACACGTGCACTCTGCCAGTTACGGTAACGCACTGAGTTCCCTGTCCCATCGCTGCAGAGCCTGGCAATGTGTTAACCAGCTGGATTCTGCTTGTCCCAGAAGCCCCATGTGACATTTCTCTGCCGCTAGATGCTCCCAGGCTGGCGGCTGGCTCAACAAGAGGGGAGGGTCTCACAGCCCAGGCTGAAGTCCCAGTCCAAACATCTGCACTGCTATTTTTAGCCCCAAAGCCCGAGCCCCATGAGCCCGAGTCAGCTGACCTTGCTCTGAGAGTCGGTGCCGTGGGTTTTTGATCACAGTGTAGACGTATCCTTAGGATGTATTTTGACAGGTTTCAGAGTAACAGCCATGTTAGTCTGTATTCGCAAAAAGAAAAGGAGTACTTGTGGCACCTTAGAGACTAACCAATTTATTTGAGCATGAGCTTTCGTGAGCTACAGCTCACTTCATCGGAAAGCTTATGCTCAAATAAATTGGTTAGTCTCTAAGGTGCCACAAGTACTCCTTTTCTTTAAGGTAGAAGAGATGTCCAACAATCCAGCCTGAGTGAGGCCTGAGCGTAATCTAGGGCAGGTAAATGTTAGATGGACACTGGAAGGGCTGATGGGGAATTGGAGAAGAATTACCGAAGACAACAACCAACAAGAAATCCTTGAAGATGCTTGAAAGCAGGAAGCCTGTGACAGTCCAGTGAGTCACCAAAGTATCAGGAAGTTGGAGCAATGCTGGACCTTGGAACAGTAAGAGAAACCGTGGAGAAATTGAATTAATTCCTTGCATCACCCTTCTCCAGAAGGTTTTGTCTGAGAGTTCTGAAGAAATAGAAGAAAAAATTGGCCAAGCTGCTAACAAAAATATGGGATCTATTATTTATTAATACACAGGAAACTTGGTTGTGAAACAAAGGAACAGCTCCACAACCTTGAAAAAAGGGGGCCGAGCGTATCATTTCCTTGCTGTTGTGGGTTTATGTCAAGTGTGTTATGTGCGTAGCAGACTTCAAAGCTTCACAATCAAGATTTTTATGTATTAATTTCCTAGGTTGTTGCAGTATTTGAACAGGGGTAAGGGGGAGACTTCTGGAGATGGTTTCAACCAATGGATGGATGGATGCATAGATGGGTGCCAGAGCTGTGCCACGGAAGTTCAGGAGCTGCTGCTGAAGATGGTGAAAATACTGAATAGCTGCTCCTCAAGTGGGCGCCATGTGTTCTGTGCACTGAATAAGGCAGAGGTTCGGTGGAAAGAATAGTATGTGATCATGGAATTGAAGACTGTATCATAATGGACGTGCACAAGGGGGGTGAATTACGTTTGCACAGACAACCTTATTTCTGGCATTTCCTAAGTAGCTCCAAAGGCCGAGGTGCTAGAGCTGTTCAAAGAAAAGGTCGCCAGAATTTTTTAACATTGGCAAAACAACATATATTCCCCTAGCCTTGTTCTCTGATATGGTTGAACCATTAAAAAAAAGAATTCAGCCTGAGGCAAACACAGGGGATGGAAAATTTCAGACCAAACGGTTAAGGTTTGGCACATTTCTAAGCTGTAACGGGGTATTACAATGGGAAGTTTTAGGCAACCTTAATACTGGATTGAGTTATCAGCCCTGCCTATCGCACTGATTGCTATAGAGAAGCTAGATCAGGAACTTCTGCTCTCTCTGTCTCATAACACAAGAAGAAGGGACATTGCGAACAGCAGAGCAGCTAACAAAAGGAGTTTGCCTGGGATCTGCCTGAGAGGAGGTACGTTAAGGGCTGCATTAAGGAGGCTGTGTTGGTGAGTATCTGAGTGTTTGTTGTGAGGACAGTGTGACTGTGTGCTGTGTGCTTGATTGGTTGTTTGAAAAGGGCGGGAACTGGGTGTGCTTTGTTCCAGGTGAGCCTTAAGTGGGCCTGACTGCATAAAAAGCCAGTCAGTTGCGAACCAGCTGAACAGCGAACAGCAGAGCAGCTAACAAAAGGAGTTTGCCTGGGAGTTCGCCTGGGGAGGGCCCACTGAGGCTTACATCTTGCCGGATTCTCTGAGTAATTACTACAACTCCTGAGGAAGCTCGTAGAAGGAAGGTAATATGGATGGGGGGTATTCAACTGTTGTGACCGGCACTGGATGTGCTATGTTTGTCTTTCTTCCACAGGACAGATGCGACTTTGTCTGTACAAAGTGCAAGCTGGTCTCCATACTGGAAGAGAAGGTTCAAGGTCTGGAGCAACAGGTATTGACCTTGCGTTGCATAAGAGAAACTGAAGATTTCCTGGACGGATGTCAGGATAGGCTTCTACGGGCACAAGGTTCTGAAGATTCAGAGCAGGCTGCACATTGGGGACGGAAGGATGGTGAAGAAATTTGGCATCATATGACCTCCAGAAGAAAAAAGGGGAACGTCCATGTACCAGCAGGCCAGATACAGGTAAGTAACCATTTTCATGTTATCTCCACATGTACTAATGCGGAGAGTGGACCAGATGATACGTCTGAGGGAAGGGAGCAGAAAGAGACTCCGATTGAAAGGCATGAGATGCACTGTCCTAGGGTTGGGGGTTCCACGACCACCGCTCCCAAGAGAAGGAGGCGGGTGGTGGTGGTCGGGGACTCTCTCCTCAGGGGGACTGAGTCATCTATCTGCCGCCCTGACCGGGAAAACCGAGAAGTCTGCTGCTTGCCAGGAGCTAGGATTCACGATGTGATGGAGAGACTGCCGAGACTCATCAAGCCCTCGGATTGCTACCCCTTCCTGCTTCTCCACGTGGGCACCAAAGATACTGCCAAGAATGACCTTGAGCAGATCACTGCGGACTACGTGGCTCTGGGAAGAAGGATAAAGGAGTTTGAGGTGCAAGTGGTGTTCTCGTCCATCCTCCCCGTGGAAGGAAAAGGCCGGGGTAGGGACCGTCGAATCGTGGAAGTCAACGAATGGCTACGCAGGTGGTGTCAGAGAGAAGGCTTTGGATTCTTTGACCACGGGATGGTGTTCCAAGAAGGAGGAGTGCTAGGCAGAGACGGGCTCCACCTAACAAAGAGAGGGAAGAGCATCTTCGCAAGCAGGCTGGCTAACCTAGTGAGGAGGGCTTTAAACTAGGTTCACCGGGGGAAGGAGACCAAAGCCCTGAGGTAAGTGGGGAAGTGGGATACCGGGAGGAGGCACGAGCAGGAGCGCGTGACAGGGGAGGGCTCCTGCCTCATACTGAGAAAGAGGGGCGATCAGCAGGTTACCTCAAGTGCCTATATACAAATGCACGAAGCCTGGGAAACAAGCAGGGAGAACTGGAAGTCCTGGCACAGTCAAGGAATTATGATGTGATTGGAATAACACAGACTTGGTGGGATAACTCACATGACTGGAGTACTGTCATGGATGGATATAAGCTGTTCAGGAAGGACAGGCAGGGCAGAAAAGGTGGGGGAGTTGCACTGTATGTAAGGGAGCAGTATGACTGCTCAGAGCTCAAGTATGAAACTGCAGAAAAACCTGAGAGTCTCTGGATTAACTTTAGAAGTGTGAGCAACAAGGGTGATGTCGTGGTGGGAGTCTACTATAGACCACCGGACCAGGGGGATGAGGTGGACGAGGCTTTCTTCCGGCAACTCGCAGAAGTTACTAGATCGCAGGCCCTGGTTCTCATGGGAGACTTCAATCACCCTGATATCTGCTGGGAGAGCACTACAGCGGTGCACAGGCAATCCAGGAAGTTTTTGGAAAATGTAGGGGACAATTTCGTGGTGCAAGTGCTGGAGGAACCAACTAAGGGCAGAGCTCTTCTTGACCTGCTGCTCACAAACCGGGAAGAATTAGTAGGGGAAGCAAAACTGGATGGGAACCTGGGAGGCAATGACCATGAGATGGTCAAGTTCAGGATCCTGACACAGGGAAGAAAGGAGAGCAGCAGAATACAGACCCTGGACTTCAGAAAAGCAGACTTTGACTCCCTCAGGGAACTGATGTGCAAGATCCCCTGGGAGAATAACATGACGGGGAAAGGAGTCCAGGAGAACTGGCTGTATTTTAAAGAATCCTTATTGAGGTTCCAGGGACAAACCATCCCAATGTGTAGAAAGAATAGTAAATATGGCAGGCGACCAGCTTGGCTTAACAGTGAAATCCTTGCTGCTCTTAAATACAAAAAAGAAGCTTACAAGAAGTGGAAGATTGGACAAATGACCAGGGATGAGTATAAAAATATTGTTCGGGCTTGCAGGAGTGAAATCAGGAAGGCCAAATCACACCTGGAGTTGCAGCTAGCAAGAGATGTTAAGAGTAACAAGAAGGGTTTCTTCAGGTATGTTAACAACAAGAAGAAAGTCAAGGAAAGTGTGGGCCCCTTACTGAATGTGGGAGGCAACCTCGTGACAGAGGATGTGGAAAAAGCTAATGTACTCAATGCTTTTTTTGCCTCTGTCTTCACGAACAAGGTCAGCTCCCAGACTATTGCACTGGCCAGCACAGCATGGGGAGGAGGTGACCAGCCCTCTGTGGAGAAAGAAGTGGTTGGGGACTATTTAGAAAAGCTGGATGAGCACAAGTCCATAGGGCCAGATGCGTTGCATCCGAGAGTGCTAAAGGAGTTGGCGGATGTGATTGCAGAGCCATTGGCCATTATCTTTGAAAACTCATGGCGATCGGGGGAGGTCCCAGATGACTGGAAAAAGGCTAATGTAGTGCCCATCTTTCAAAAGGGGAAGAAGGAGGATCCTGGGAACTACAGGCCAGTCAGCCTCACCTCAGTCCACGGAAAAATCATGGAGCAGGTTCTCAAGGAATCAATCCTGAGGCACTTACACGAGACGAAAGTGATCAGGAGCAGTCACCAAGGGCAAGTCATGCCTGACTAATCTAATTGCCTTCTATGACGAGATAACTGGCTCTGTGGATGAAGGGAAAGCTGTGGACGTGTTGTTCCTTGACTTTAGCAAAGCTTTTGACACGGTCTCCCACAGTATTCTTG